AAATGGCGTACCATCATCTTCTCAGTTCCGAGAAACCTTGAAAAGAGCTACGATTGTCGATCGGTTCCTGAAGTCATACTTGGAGTAATAGTTATTAGACTTATCCAAGTGGGAGACTATTGGATAAGGTGTCTAAGTCCATAACTATTTCTGGTATGTACTTGACCCGACCCGGCATGGTTCATTTGGGTTGCATGGCACCATGCAATTGGATAGACTAAATGAGAGAAATAACACTTGGAGATTATTAATATATTATAAGTTCTAATATATTAATAATATTATTTGATTAGTTTGATCAAATTAATTTAGAATTAATTAAGTGATCAAAAGAGAACTAATTAAATATATGGGTTGATTATGTAAATCATCCATATCTTGTATAGTAGGCTAAGAGGCTCCATGGATTATCAAGTTGGGTTCCACCCATAGGATGCTCCATGGATGCTCCATGGGAGTTACAAACCCATGGGTCATGGAAATGAAAAGTCATGACACATTAGGGTTTACATGGTGTAACCCTAGATGTGTCAACACTATATAAGAATCATAGTCTCCACCAAAATCGGCTACACTAAGGAAACAAGAGGGCTAGGCCGATTTAAGAAGTGTGCATTCTCTCAAAAGTCTTTCCAACAACATTTGGTGTTGTGTGAAGCATTTGAGGCATCACACTTGGGGTGCTAGGCTCATAAGGTTTCAAGGAACATAAGCAACAACAAGGTAAGTTATTCTATCTATCATTCAAGTTAAAATTGTTCCCCATGTATGCTAGTTAGGAAAATAGCCTTGGAATTCAACTTTGCATGATAATTAGACAAACATAGATCCGAGGTTATTAGGGTTGCATGTACACTTAGGAAGTGTTAGAATGCTCAAAACCCATTGCATTCTTACAAAGCCGATAATATGTCTATCAATATTGATGTTGAGAGGAAGCCAATAATTGAAGATGAGCCAATACACGAAGAGGAGCAAATACTCGAGGGGGAGCCACTACTTGAGAAGGATCCAATATTAGAAGAGGAGCATTTTGATGATGCTGAGGATGCATGTTCAATAAATGGATCAGAAACCGATGTCATGTTTGAAGTTGCACCTTTGGACTTTGATCCTGATGATCCACCATTGGATAAATGGACAAGAAATCATCCAAAAGAACAAATTTTTGGAGATCCACAAGCGGGGGTATTGACAAGGGCTCAACTTCATGCAAGAAATGAGGTACTGAATACTCACTAAGAGCTATGCATGTTTAATGTTTTTATTTCAAAAATAGAACCAAAGACTTTTAAGGTTGCAATGGAATACTCTGATTGGGTTGTTGCAATGCAAGCTGAATTGTCTGAATTTGAAAGAAACAAGGTTTGGAGATTAATTCCTAAACCTGTTGATGTTTTAATTGTTGGACTTAAATGGATTTTTAAAAAAAACGACAAAGATGGAAATATCATTCGAAATAAGGCCAGACTTGTTGTTAAAGGATATTCTCAACAAGAAGGAATTGATTATGAAGAAACTTTTGCCCCTGTCGCAAGACTCGAGGCTGTTCGTATTTTTCTGGCTTATGCAACTCATAAAGATTTTGACGTATATCAAATGGATGTAAAATTTGCATTCCTAAATGGTGAACTTGAAGAAACAGTTTATGTTGAGCAACCACCAGGTTTTATAAATAACGAACATCCTGATCATGTTTATATTTTAGATAAAGTTGTATATGGGTTGAAACAAGCACCAAGAGCATGGTATGCAACTTTAACATCATTTTTAAAACAATCCAAATTTAAACAAGGATCAGTTAATCGCACTTTATTTTGAAAGAAAGTTGGGAGTCACATGATGCTTGTTCAAATTTATGTTGATGATATAATTTTTGGCTCTACTGATCCTGCTTTGTCTAAAGAATTCGAAGATTTGATGAAAAGCAAATTCGAAATGAATATGATGGGCAAAATTAATAATTTTTTGGGTTTGAATATTCGTCAAAGCAAAGAAGGCATCTTCATTAATCAGGAGAAATATACGAAGAATCTGCTTGAAAAATTTGGAATGAAGAATAGCACAAGGTTACGAATACCAATAGTAACAGGCATCAAGTTAACTCCTTCGTTAGACAAATCTGCTGTTGATATCACTTTGTATAGAAGCATGATAGGGTCATTATTGTACTTAACTACAAGTCGACCTGATATTATGTTTTCTGTTTGTAATTGTGAAAGGTATCAATCGAATCCACGTGAACCACATCTAACAGCGGTGAAGAATATTTTTTAATATTTAAAAGGCACCACTTCATTAGGTTTGTGGTATCCTTCGAAAACAGGGTTCTTTATACAAGCTTATTGAGATGCGGATCTGGGAGGATGCAGTCTTCATCGAAAAAGCAAAACTGGTGGGTGTCAATTACTAGATGGAAAATTGGTCAGTTGGCAATCGAAGAAGCAAACATGTGTTTCGATCTCTACAGCCGAAGCTGAATATGTTGCTGCAGCTGCGTGTACATGACAAACTATTTGGATTCAAAGTCAATTACGTGATTATGCTATAAATATGAAAAAGATTCCTTTATATTGTGATTCACAAAGTGCAATAAGAATTTGTCATAATCCTGCGTAAAAGACCATGTGGAAGAAGGAAATATTGAAGTTCATTTTGTGAAAACAACGGAACAGCTCGCAGATATTTTCACATAGGCATTGGATGAAAAATCATTTCTTCGCATTCTAGAAGGATTGGGAATGCTTGATGGAAATTCAATTTCATATGACAAAAGCGAAGAGTGATGTCTCATAATAACAAAACCGAAAGTTGTTAAGCATTCAGAGGTTACTGTTCATGGTCAACGCTTCGAATGCTTCACCTTCGTATGTTTTGTTCCTTGATGAAGTCTATATTCAGAGACTACTGTTCAGAGTCAATTGTTCGAATGCTTTGTGTTTGTTTGTTTTGTTCATTGAAGATATTCTTGTTCAAAGGTCATTGTTCTAAATAAAATATTTGCATGGTTTCGCATTCAAACTCTTCGCATTCACACACATTTCAACTACGGTATGATTTCAATAAACTTTGGAATAGTTAGGATGTCCTTATAAGCATGTTGTTGCATGTTGACTCAAGCCTCATATGACTCAATGTGTGAGAGGAAAGCCTTGATGAAATTATCTCATGAAAATTTCATACCAACAAGGCTTGTATTCGCATTAGTCAACAGAGCTACCTTACTCTTCTCATATGAGTTAAGAGTTTTCTGTTTTGTCCACATATAACAGAGGTACATTCGATCTATAAACCAATCTTTTTCATCCTAAATTTCTTTACACAACTCACACATAATGACGTATGTCCCAGAGATTTTGATCAAACCAATTGAAATCTAGACATACAAAAACTCTGTGTTCATGATCTGAAATCTTGAGTCCGTGATGAAAGTGAGACCCTAAAATCCAACAAATCAAGGAATTGACGGGGAACTTTGTTCCAGAATTTACGAAACATTTGTTTCAGTACCTTTTATACTCCAAATTGTATTCATTTTTCTTGAGTGGTCTTGATCAAACATTCGAAACATACGATGTTTGTTCCCAACAAGATCTAGCATAATATTTTTTTTTATGAATATGATTTCCGTGTGAGTATATTTCAAAAATCCTTGTTACGTTGTATATCATTACATACCAATTTGTCACTGACTACACTGGTCATACAAATAATTTTGGTTACAATTTATCACCTTATTTTAAGGCTGATATGTAACGACATTTTCGAAGCCACCCATTAGCCTTATAAAAGAAACCCTTTGAAACTTCTCTACAAAGTTATCGATTATAATTCACGGGAAACCAAGCAAGCTGTTGATTATCTCTCTTGATAATTTTTGAAGAAATCTTTGCCTAGGATTTAACTGCTTTTGTGTCAAATCAAAATTTTGAAAGAGCCTTACCTCTATTCATTTCGAAGGGTTCCGACGGTTACACTTCTCTTGGGGCAAACTAAACAGTCTTGTCTTTTGGTGACGTATGGAATACGATACGAGTTTTAGGCGTGCTGACAGTTACGTTTGTTACTTTTTGATGAGTGAGGGCCGTATTTCAAGGTTCCATGTCAGCAAGCATTTAATGCATCCCGCTTGAAATTCAAAATTCTAGGGTTACATATAAAAAGGGAACTCAGGGGTCCATAACGTTTTATGCGATCAACTATTCTCTTTCTTACAAATTCTCTCTGAAATTCATCTTCTTCAAAAATCATCTTCTTCACATCCACAAATGGCGACTCAAAGGCAAGATTCAATTCCATCCTCACCAACAACTGAAGAAGTTGTTTCTGTTTCGATATTGAAGATCCAGGGTTAAAATTATCAAGTCGAGTCTGAATTATCCAAGTATTCGGATGAACTCAAGATGTTGGTGGTTGCTTTACAAAATTTTGTTCTATCTAAAGCAATGTTTAATTCGTTTGCGGTTCCGATGTCCTGGTTATCTAAAGCCGGATCAACAGCATCGTACAACAAAGAGACGGGGAGTGTGGAGTTTACAATGGTGAATGAAACACGTATTCGGGTGTCCAAGAGGTTATTTTGCAAGATTTTGGGAATTTCGAACACAGGTCCGTATGTGGAAGTCACTTCTTCACAAATTGTGTTCATGTTCAATGAAATTGGTCATCAACCTCCATTGATGCGTATCAGTGATTTTAAGAAATCAGGTTTACCTACGGTATGGAATTTTTTATTTTGAATTTTTCTTCGCTGTCTTACCGGAAGAACAGTGGGTCTAGATAAAGGGAGAATAGAAGTCTATGCAATGGTGGTTGGGCTTTATTATGATTTACAAGTTGATTACTCTGAACAGTTATGGACAGAGTTCTTGACAAGTATATCGAAGACCAATGTCAGGCAGGGGATTTCATGTGCCAGATATTGGAGTCTTATTCTTCAGTATGTTTATGCCAAGGAGAGGATTGCAGTTCCTGAAGATGAAGAAAAAGTTGTTTTCCACATGTATGGCAGTCCGAAGGAGGTTGTTGATGATCCTGCCATTTTTACATCTGTTGCTCATATTCCAGATGCGATGCTCAAAAAGGTGGATCCAACAAATAACGTGTTGGTGTCATATCTTCAGTCAATTGACACAACCGTTGTTAGTGGTGTTTTATTTGACATTGAAGCGAAGAAATCAAAGAAGTCGAAGAAGACAGATGTTGGATCTTCGAAAAAGAAAGTGAAGGTTGAGAAGCAGAAGAAATCTCCTACAGTCAAACCAGCTTCAGTCGAAGAAAGTGCTCAACAGATTATTTTTCCCAATTCGACGACTGTTGCTGCCACACCAACAATCGAAGCTTCTCAGGAGAAAGATATAATTCCATCAAAGACGGGGGTTTTTCGCCAAATCAAATTTAAGCGAAAATCTTCGTCTCAGATTGTTCAAAAAACCCAAATCACACATCAGGGTGTGATGGTTCGTGAAATTCCAGCCCCTGTTTCTCCATCATCGAAAAAGCGAAGGGTTGAGGATCTTGCCAAGTTTATCAAAAAGAACCAAAGGACTAAGGGAGAAGAGAAAATTCCTGAAACACCTGAAGTCCATATTCAAGAAGCAGCAAAGATCAGTCCACCTGTTACTATTTCAAAGCCTGCTGATTCGAGACCCGTTGAACAACGTCTTGTTATCTCTTTACCCCAAGTTACATCAACTACTGATTCTCCAACTTTTCAATCTATCATGGATCAACCGTTCACTACAATTTTTTCTACTCAATCTACTGATCCACCGAACCCATCATCCCCTGTTGATGAAACCATGGCTACTGATGCTGGAACTGACAACGAAGGCTTTGGAGGAACGTTCGAAGCTCTTCACTTTTATACTTCCGAAGAAGATTTTCCAGATCACATGCTGATGACGATGAAGCAGTTCAAGATTTTGAATTCAAAATTAAATTCAATCTTGCAATCAGAAGCAGATGTGGGTAGTGTTGGGGTGATGAGTTGGAGGTTGATTCATTGATGAAATTGATGGAAGGGCGTGTAATTTCGAAGGCTTCTAGATTAATTCGAGATTCAGAAAGTAGAGTTCTTGAAAATTTGATCAACATCATGCTTCTACTGAGAATCGAATTAATTCTCAGAATGCTAATTTTGTACGAGAAGTGAAGGATTTGAAGTTGGTTACGAAGGAGCGTAATTTGCTCTTCGTATAAGAAGTTAAAAAGGTAAGGGAGGATGTGAATCTACAAATCAGAGAACTTCGTGAAGAAATGCAAAAGGAAGTTCAAATCATACAACAGGATTATGCTTCGGTTAATCAGAAAATTGATATCATCTGTGATGCTGTCACCAGATATGTCAAACTCTTCGAACAAATGAATCCAACGCTGACAACTCTTTCTGCCAAAGAAGAACAAAACATTGGAGAGTTGGTCGGTTTGTTGAAAGAATTAAAAGCCTTATCTTCGATGTCTATCTCTCCGATAATTTCCCAAGAATTTCTTTCACTTAAGTTTTCCCATTTCGAAGCCATTTTACACAAGAATCTGATTCCCCTGCTTCGCATTTCCAGCCTTTTACCAACAGTCTCAGATGCCCCACCTGCTTTCACAGGGGTGCAAGGGGGGAGAATAGATAGAACAAATAAAGGTTGGGGAACAAGTAAAAACTTGCGAAGGGATGAAGAAAGCTACAGAAGATGCGAAGATAGTTGGAAAGATATACCCTTCAAAGGTGGTGGCAAAGGCAACTGTTGTTTCTGCTAGTCCAGTTACTTCAACTGTGATAACAACAGTTCCAATTCCTAAACCAATTTCAAAGGGAGTTGTCATTGGAAAGCAAACAGGTGGATCTTCTTCAGAAAAAGTTGATCTATCAAAAATAAGGGACAAGGGCAAAGAGATACTGATTGAAAAGTCCAAAGAAGAGAAGAAAGCAGAAGTGGCAGCTGAAGTAGAAAAAATGAGACATGTACAGAGCATAATGAGACAAAGGGCTCTGGAAGGTTCAAATTTTGATAAGGGTGATCCATTAAAAGTGTATAATTACGAAACCATTGAATCCAGGGTGATGTTTGATCATATGTATTCGTCTGAAAAGATCCCAAAGAAAAGCTACGTGGTGACAAACACTGATTTTTCTCAACTTGATTTCCCAATCAATGAGATGATGTTTTTCATGCCACAGTTTAAAGCTGAGTCAAAGATAATGGAAACAGAAGAGGGAAAGAAGATGAAAATAAGGTTTCATGCTGTGTTGGCAAAGGCTCAGGAAGAAGTTTGGTTTTTGGAGAAGATAAGAAAAGTGATATCTTTCAAAAGAGATGTCATTTTCGAAGGGAAGATTGAAAATGTTAAATACATTGTTGCAAGGGCAAGTGGAAAAATTCAAGAATTTACGGTGACAAATTTTCCTTTAATGAATACTTATGATCTCATCAATGTCGCCCTGATGCTTAAAGACAAATCATTTTCATTTCTAAAAGATATTGAGCCTGATGTTTTTAGCCTTGGGTGCAAGCACATAAAAATATACATGGAAAATTACTTCGAGTGCTTGGCTCAAACAGATGTGGAACTTGAAATAGTGAAAGGAATTGACATAATTGCACCAATGGCACCAACAAAGAAGCAATATGAGTTGAACAAGTATGAAGATGGTGAAGTTTGCTTAAAACCATTGGGGATAGTTTTTGCTGGCAAGGATAAAGCTGGAAGAGCTAAACGATTTTTGTTCCAAACCTGTGAAGTGGAGAGATACAGCAATTCTCAGTATACGAACTTAATTGGTCGTATGAACCACTACAAGAAAAACTCTGAAGGAGACAAGAAAGAGATAAAGAAGGTTATCTCTTGGTATACGGAGATCCGAAGAGTGATGATGTATGCCGTTCAAGCACTGACTACTTGATGACTTCGATATTGATTCCAAAGGGGGAGATTGTTAGGGCTAAAATGTTGTAATATGTCGAAGATTCAGTTTGTTTGTTACGAAGTATCTGATTGTCTTCGTATGTATGGGTCTTCGTATATATAGTTATTTTACTAAGGTGTTATAATGTGAAGGCTTAACGTTTAGTCCTTAGTCTTTTTGTTATGCTTTTATTCTCCTATAAATAGGGGTATGTTCTAGTGATCTAGATATAACTTTACACACAGTTTTACAGTTTATTGATTGTATTCTATAAACTGAAAAGCATAATATGTGCTGATCAAAGATTATATTTACTCTCGTCTTCATCGTTTCAATTCTTTACTGAATTACTTCTAGAATTACATTCAAACTCGATTCCAAAACTCATCAGTACCTTATGGTACGCCCAACGTACGCGATCAGGTGGCAAACCCTAATTTTAGGGGTTGAGGCGTATTTAAACCCCATTATAGCCTCCCATTTGGCCTTCTCACTTATCATTCACTCCAGAGAAACCCTAGTTCGTCCCCCTTTGCTCCTTGTTTGTGTGTGTTTGATCTTTGAGCTTATTTTTCTGGGATCATCCTTTCTTTTGGCATTCAAAAGAGGTATAAAGCTTCCAACTTTCCTCTTGTAAGTTTAGATCTAGGAGTTTTTGGAAGTTTGGACCTTTTAGGTCCAAAGGAAGGACCTTTATCTTGAAACTTCGTTTTTGGAGCTTGGGATTGCAATCCTTGAAGCTCAAGTGTCCCCATAGCAGTAAAGTTTCGATCTTTGCGGCTTATATGGAACCATTTTTGAGATCTAGTTGGTTTTATGGAAGTAGAATGTTATTTGTGGAAGTTTGAGCCTTTATGAGACTTGTAAGCCATCAAGTAAGAAACTTTATGGCTTAAGTCATGGAATAAGCTTAGGATCTGGATTTGTAGCTTCTGGATTGGATTATTAAGCACTTAATGAGATGTTGGCTTAACAGAGTTGTACGTTGGGGGTACAAGGAAGTACGCACCGCGTACAAGCCAGCAGCCAGTACGCTCAGCGTACCTTTGTGTACGCCCCACGTACGCTACCAGTTGGGGCTTCGAGTATTGGGCCTCGGTGTGGGCTGGGTTTCAGGTTTAGGTTCCTTGGGCCTTTATGGCCCATCATAATTCAGTTGCTAAGGACCAAGGATTTAGTATTGGGCTTGAGTAAGGCCTAATAAAAAGGTTCTAGGCCCAATATAGCAAATGGGGCCATTAGTGGGCCTATAGTGGGGCCATAGATGGACTTAGAAGGAATTGAGGATTTGGGCCATAGATGGACTCACGAGGTGAGTTTCCTTCTAGTAGGAACGGGTCTAAGGCCACAATGTCAGCCCGTTTAATTAGGAGTAGTTTCCAGACCTTAGTCCGATGCAGTAGTTAGAATGTTTGATGCCTTCGTGGCTCAGATAGTGTTTTATGTGTTATGTATTTCAGGCTACGACCTGATACAATATGCAATTTATGTGTTCATGCTAGTTGATATGTTTATGCTATGTTATGTTATGCTAAGATAGTTTCCAGACTTCGTTCCGATGCAGTTAGTTCTGGACTTTGGTCCGATGCAGGGGACAAGGTCCCAGTCAGTTCCAGACTTCGGTCCGATGCAGTTAGTCCTGGACTATGGTCCGATGCGTAGGGAAAGGCCCTGGTTAGTTCTGGACTCCGGCCCGATGCAGTTTCTGGACTTCGGTTCGATGCAGTGGGCAAGGCCCAGTATGTGTTATATGTTATTGTATGGTATGTGGTAGTTTGGGGGAGCTCACTAAGCTTTGTGCTTACAGTTTCAGTTTTGGTTTCAGGTACTTCCGCAAGTAAAGGGAAGGGCTCGGGTTGATGGCATCGCACACGCCACAACTTCAGTTTGTCCTGGGAGTTGTTTTAGTTTTCATAGATGTGAATTGATACAGTCTTGATATAGTTTTCTCATGATACTTTGCTATGGTTTTGAGATATTGACGTATGGGATTTGTTTTATGATATTGACATGAAGTTTTCAGTAATTACTAAACAAAAATTTTTGGGCCGTATTTTTGGGATGTTACAAGTTGGTATCAGAGCCTTGGTTTGAGGGATTCGGACACACTCTCAGGTGTGTCTGAACTCAAACTAAGGACTTGGTATGAAAATTTTCAAAAGTAAAATCATTTTATAAAAGAAGTTTGAAAAGAGAAAAGAATAGCTTTTATAAAAGGAAAAGGGTGTGGTGCGTGCGATCGGCCGAGCTTAAGTAAGTACACCCAAACTACCATACAAGTTATATTATGATTATCTATTTCAATTTCAGTAGAACAACATGCTAGAATAGGACTAAGGATCTAGGAGGATGCCTTATGTGCCTGCTATATGTGTTTCAGCTTTATGAGAAATTGCATGCTAGTTTTGAGTATACAGCAAAATGATAGCCTGTTTAGGTTATGCCTGATAGTATGAGCTTAGCATTGTATGCTAGTACAATTTCTTGTTAAGAGGATAGAATTACTTGAGTAGTCTCTTGTGTCTGAATGCTGCTTGCTTTGTGCTTTGTGGGACTTTGAGTGATCGGAGTTAGCCATTAGGTGAATGCGTCACGTCACATGTGAACATGGTTGAATAATCTCAGAGCACTAGATTTGGCCCTATTGTGCAGCTCTTGTTTGAGTCTCACCATTGTAGGGACGAGTCTTTTACTCGAAGGATTATATGAGCCTCGTCGCGTGTGATGGTATTCAGGTGATGGCTAATTGGCATCACAAGGAGGCTTTCAGCAGCTGAGGACTGGATTGGGTGCAATCAGAGATTTCCCTAGGGCAAGTCGAGGATGGGAGTAGCAGAGATTATTAGAAATAATAGTGACTTGGTGTAATCAAGGCAATACTTGAGGAAAGTACGGATAGATGTGGAAGGTAGTATGGGCCCGTACTACTGAAAGCAGAGGATCCGTACTCGAATCAACGAAAGCTGAGATGAGACCAGGAAACTTGTGGTAGTAGTGATTCCTCGAGATATATCAGTGTTCCTGACGTTTATTATGTTTTGTTTCAAAATGGTGGTATTACGCCCTAGACCTGCAGTCGGCAGTTCAGGTGCCGGAGGTGGATCAGGATCAGGCCCGGAGGCCGGGCAGTTGTATGAGCAGACTAGGGAGTTTCTCTCTTCAGAGATTACTCGCACCATACTTGAGAAGAATCCTGTGATCTTCAGTCGATCAAGGAGGGTATCTTAGAGTTTATGGACGAGAGGTTGAGCACCTTCCCTGCTGAGGTAGCGGCTATGATGGGGTCGCGCACGCTTACTTTTAGGGAGTTCCGGGCATGCGGAGCTCCAGATTATCACGGGGCACGAGACCCCATAGCGAGTACCAGATGGTTGGCAGATGTGGCCAATGCTTTCCGCACTAGCAGATGTCCCGAGGGGGACAAGGTCAGATTGGCATCCTATCTTCTGAAGGACAGGGCACGAGATTGGTGGGAGGAGGTTGGTCATGCCATTGGAGATGATGTAGCTTTGGATGCTATGACCTGGACTGATTTTACTACCAGGTTCAGAGCAGAGTTTACACCGGTCATTGAGGTGCAACAGTTAGCCAGAGAGTTTTAGGATCTTACCCAAACTACAGAGACAGTGGCGGAGATTACCGCCAAGTTCAGGGAGAGGGCTCTTCTTGTTCCTTAGTACGTGGCTGATAAGGAAATGAAGAAAGCTCGTTATCATGAGATGCTGTAGAGTGATATCCACCAATTTGTGAGCCGGTCCAGCTGTAAAACGCTGGATGACATGATTGCCAGGGCTCGAGAGAGAGAGAGAGAGAGAGAGATTGACCTGGAGATGAAGGGAAAGAGGAAGTCGGAGGCGGCTCCAGGTACAGGGAGTGCGGGCAAAAAGCCCAAGAGTTCAGATCACAGAGCTAGGAGTCAGCAGAGCCACGCTCGGGGAGGCAAGTGTGGGAGATTACACGATGGGGTGTGCAAGGCAGGGAGCAATGGCTGCTACAAGTGCGGTCGGACTGGGCATATGAGCAGAGATTGTACAGTGACTACTACCGTCATTGTGGCATCAGAGCTGATTTGCTTCCATTGCAATCAGAGGGGACATAAAAGTTCCCAGTGTCCGAGTTTAGCTGCTGCAGGAAAGGTGTCAGCACCTGCTCCTGCTACTTTGAGGATTACAGATGGCCGTCAGGGCCGAGTTGAGACGCCAGTGGCAAGGAGTAGGGCTTTTTAGCTGACAACAGAGGAGGCGCGAGCAACTCCTGATGTGGTGACGGGTATGTATTTTTCTCCTTACCTCTGCATTTATTATTGATTGTTTCTTATGGTTATATGTTTTGTATAGGGTCGTTCTCCGTGAACGGCATATCAACTACAGTATTGTTCGATTCGGGGGCTACCCAATCGTTTGTTTCACTTGTGTTAGCAAGAGGCTTAGTAGAGCTCCGGGGGAGCTAGATTGTCCACTTGAGATTGAGATAGCAGTCGACAGGACTGTTAGGGTGGCAAGAGTACACAGAGGATGTTCTCTACAGTTGTTCGATGAGCAGTTTCCGGTGGACTTGTTCCCCATTCCCTTGCGAGGGAATAAAGTCATAGTTGGTGAGGTTTCTCACTCCCAGTGGGGGAGAGTTAGTGATTCAGGGCGAGAGACCACAACGTGGACCAATTTTGTGTTCAGCAGCGAGAGCGGGGTGCTATTTTCAATAGGGTTGCATCGGTTATGTTGCCTATGTTATAGATGCTCGGGAGAAGGGTAGGATGACAATTGATGATGCTCCAGTAGTGCGAGACTACCCGGATGTATTTCCAGAGGAATTGCCTGGAATACCTCCCGAGAGGCAGGTTGAGTTTAGGATTGACCTGATACCTGGTGCGGTTCCGATAGCCAAGGCACCGTATCGGTTGGCTACCCAAAGATGCAGCTGTTATCTACGCAGCTGCAAGAGCTTTTAGACAAGGGTTTTATCAGGCCGAGCACTTCGCCTTGGGGTGCACCGATTTT